TGAATTTCAGGGGCCTGACCACTGCGTGTTTGTGGGCAATCTGCATCAACACAGCCAGAATTTCCTGGGTTAAATCCACGATTCATGGCGAGAGTTTGCCCAGGTAAAAACCATGGGGTGAGTTTAGGTGAAAATGTATCCCCGGCCTCACCCCTCCATGCTAACCCATGCATAACAGACCCCTATTCTCCTGGTCCGGTTGCTGCCTTGCGGCGTGGCAGCCGGAGGCGGCGCACGCCCTGTTGAGCACTTGCCGACGCATGCCGCCAAACGCAAACAGGTATGGGTGGCGGTGGCGCCTCCGGGGGGTAACTCGCGGCCCCAGAACTTGAGTGAGCAAGCTCCGCAGCTTCACGTTGTGCATCCTGAGCCTCGGACACAGCTGACAAACATGTCAGCGCATCGGGCGCACGCTTACTGTCTGAAGAAGCGGCTTGCTTTTGTGCAGCACGGGCAGCCGCACGCTCCTGGCATTCAGTTGCGGCACCCTACATTTCCTCAAAGGCCTTCGAGGTTGAAATTGAGGCTGAGACTCTGCGTAGAAGGGCATGGTTATACAAACGCTCGGCCTCAGGCAGTTCTCCATCTGTCCTTCTCCACATCTCGTACCCAGCACCGCCCCCTTCAGTTTCCAGCCACAGCTGCCATGGTAACTTCTCCACAAAAATAAGCCGAGAATTTTGATTCATGAGCTGCGGACAGAGAAATTGCTTGCGGACCATTATTGTTGACATGAGCAGAAACTGCACACGCCCACGTAAGTTGTTCTGTCCTGGATGGGAATTTGCGAAGTTTGACAGAGGAGCCGCTTGCACCCCTGTCCCTCCTAAACAGAAACCCTGTGCTCATCTTTCACTTGCAACATCTTGCAACGATACGGACCAGCACGGGTTTTCGCCAGCTCATCTTGAAGCAGGCTTTCACGAAAGGATGAACAGTCAATTCAGCCTCATATTTCATGCGAGATCCCAAACATGCAAGCACTGCAGCCCCCCACAATCTGTTGCGTCATTTGGGCTTTGAAAAATTGGGTTCAGTTGTGCTCAAACCCCACGTAAGGCAATAGTCAAGAGTCCGATGAGAGCGAAGCTTCATGCCAAGAAGCCATGACTGCAGGACTAGTGCTCTGCCTATCGCTGGTAAAGGGTGCCGCTGATCAAATCCTGCAAAGTGGGGTCATGCCTCTCACATCATTTGAGCCTGCGCAGCGCCAGGCAGTGCGACACCATCCTGCTGCGCAGATGTGCAGGTTGAGATGGGTTGGGATGCCCTTGGTTCGGTGCAAGTTGAACCTCGCAGCTGCCAGGCGAGGCCCTGACCGAGGCAGGTGCAGATTGAGGCGCCAACAACTCTACCTCTCGTGCTGAGCTATTCTCCACTCGATGCAAAATTCTTAAATGAGTTATCGGTTCCTTGCCTTAGTGATGACCAGCAAGTTCTGCAGATGTTTCATTGACTTGGCTTGGCTAGCTTGGCTTGGCAATTGCAGGCGATGCCTCTCGCAGACGTGGCTGAGGCCTCTCCTTCACAGGATGGGGGTGGAGTCTTCGAGTTTCGCATGAATGTGTGATAATCCCGATCACACGCAGTAGAGATATGGTAGAAGGTAAAGGAACTTGGCCTGCAGGAAGCCTGTGAGGCCTCACAGCTGCCACACCCGCCACCTGCACCCAGACCCCCAGGCCTTCAAGTTGCATATAACCTTAATATGCTAAGACCCTAAACCCTAACATAATCCTAACATAAATATACCTCTGATATAATCCCCTAGAATATTATCTCATTGTTAGCAGCGAGGCTTGTCCGTAAAGTTTGGCGTCCTGGCAGATCTTGACAGTTAAGCCCCACCAAAGTTGGGCGTTCTTTTGCTTACTGGCCCATAGTATAGGGAATATACATCGTATAGAATATCCCTAGAGAAAAAATTCCCATAGTCCCTACTGGACAGTTACGCCCGACCAGGTGAGTTGTCCAGCGAGGACGAAGTGTCGGAAGTTACGTGGTCAGAGCAGGGCGTGCGACTGCCTGCAGTGCAGCGTCGCGTCGCAGGCCAGACCCTTGCAGTCTCTTTCGGGTTTAGACCGTTGGAGTTTTGGATTTCTGTGCAGAAGCCTTCAGGCAAGATCACGCGCTCGTGGGGCGCATCCCTCGGTACAAACTCGCACCAAAAGAGCCGGCCAATGTTGCACGCAGTGGCCAGCAAGCAAACGATGGGAAGGTTCCAGTGATGACTGGGAGCGTATCAGCTCCATTTACGATCTTGGCCACTGGGAAGCGACGGCTTTAGTTGGCGGACTCTGGTTGCTATCTGGCGGGTAAAATCGTATTGATTGGACTCTCTGACATGTATTTGCCTTCCAGAAGTTATAGCTCATGCCTGGCCAAGTCGTGAATCTAGCAATGCCTGAAGTCTTTGCAAAGTAAAACGAACGGAAATATGCATAAACATGCTCTATTAAAAAAAACCGCCGTACTTGCATCGAACAAGACTGATCAGAAAGGTGGCCGCACGTACGAGCAGCTGATCTGCAGGCGCATGTGACAGTTGGTTGCGTAGAATCATTATTCACAAAAGCGTCTGTGATTTCTGCGCTTCCTACTCCTAATACCTTCGGTTCAGCTGAGCAAAGCCACACCCCATCTTACTGTGTGTTAGTACCAACATATCGGGTGAAGACAACCTCGAACAGGCCTTTTGGCTCCTTCCTCCTGTGGGGCCAGCGACGATAGGCGGCCACTGGGGGGCGGCAGGGCACTTGGCTGAAAGGGGACATGGCGGATCATCCAAGACAGGCTTACTTCTGCGGCTGAGGTGGTGCAAACAAAGTGTGGAGGTGCGGGCTGAGGTTGGCTGTGAAAGCTTCAGGTGGCAAGCTGAGTAGGATTGAGATGTGCTGTGTTGGAAGTTGTTTTCTGCTGGAAAATGTCTATTCTGTTTCACTGGTCCTCCGGGACCCATTGACGAGAAGCCGTCAGCTATGCAAGAACAAGAATTCGGGCAAACATCCAACGGACAAAGTGCGGAAAGAAATCATCCGAACCCTTCAGGAGCTGCGGGAGCTTTGTCTGACCATGGTAGGCTGAGTGTAGATGGAAATCCGGGTCATCACGGCCCCATGGCTCCTGACACCCTGGAGAACTCCATGACTTCGGCTTCGCATTGTCTCGCACCTCTTCCTTGTCGCACTTGGCCAACTCTGCGGTTTCTGTTGCGGTCAAGCTGCATGATGTTGTCCACGCACATCACTTCAGATGTCCACCAGTACGTAGCACTCGTAGGGGGAGCTGGCAATGATAGTGTCCCCTTCTGGTGAACACTCAACCTTAGCTCAGAAAGTAAAGCAGGGCACAGAACGTGAACGCTAAAGGAATCACTGCGGCCCGCCGTTTCCTGCAGCCAGTGACAGCCAGTGGCCTCAGCCAGGCCACTCGGGGCAGCGCTCCCGTCTCTGTGGTCACTTCTGTCGTCGTGAGGACCTTCATCTGGTGCATCGTGATTGCCTGAGTTTCACACGTCGGCTTCCTTTTGCAAGTGTCTCTGCCTGAATTTGCCCAAGGCGATCATTAAAGCTCGGGACCTTGATCTCTGTCCCTTGCGGATGCCTCTCGAGATCGAACTTCCTTAGGGACGCTATGTATGAATTACGGGCAACCATCGGTCATCGGACAGAGCTGAGGTTTCGCATGTGCTGAGTTACACGCATGCATCATGGGAAGCGCATGTTGCGCCAAGTTTGCACATCTATAGTAACGTACACTTTTGCCGTTTCAATGGCGTCAGTATCTGTTGCGCAGATTGACGGGGAATCTCATGTCATTGATGGGGCAAGCTTGACGTGGGCAAGACATCACGTTGCCCTGCCGGAGATGTCCTGTACAACTTCTGCTCATCGTTTCAGTTTCTATGGCGCTTTAAATACAGAAGATCAGGCTCGTCTTTCCCTAGGCACCATGAGTGAGAATTACCTAACTGGGCTCGCGTGCAACTGAGCAAACCCCGCAGAGCCGCATAACGACGTAGAGACTGAAAAGACTGCTGGTTCACAGCCAATCTTGCTATAAGTACTTTCTCCCAGCGGCTCTCGATGGCCGCGAACTTTCACCCCGCAGATTCACAATGTCAAGCTCGATGATCTCCACGCGCCGACAGACCACAAATTCTGCGCTGAAGCTGAAGAGGAACCTTTTTGGACAGGTCTTGCAAGCGTGGCGGCAAGAAGCAGTAGAGTATAGGTAAGCTCGTGGGCGCTGATCCCATGTATCCTCTGAGCCCAAGGCAGCATTATGGTAGAAATACAGCACTTATTGTTATCTTCTTAAGGCCTTTCGATCAGAAATTGCCCTGCAAGTCATATGTCTGAACCACCATGGCATCTGGGGCTGAGGCTCATCCAGCAGGTGGTAAAGCAAGTCCGTCATGTCGTGTCCAGATGCCTCGACCTCCACCGAAGTCGAAAGGCTCACTGTGTCCTAACCGGCAAAGAAACATACCTCAGCACATGCTGCAAAGAACAGAGAATCTCAGGCAGAGGTCGATGACACGAAACTTGACGAGAAGCGCAGCATTGCTCGAAGGCTTCCTCGAGAGTCTGGCCCCAAGAATGAAGAAACACATCCACTTCAAGCAAGCAAGCATTGTTTGCCCTGCCTCCACCATGCTCACCTCCTCTGCTGTAGGAAGCAGGCCATAGAACCTTTGTCAGGAACGAGCTCATGAATTTGCAGGGAGCAGGCCAGCGCATTCCAGCCTCATGAGTTCCCCCGCCTGGCTTCTGGAACTGGTCACGTCTTCTTGCACATCACAAAGCATCAGCCTGATCCGGTTTCAGCGGCTGAAGGCTCAATCAAGTAGGAGGGGAGCCCCCAAAAGCGCCAACATCCTCTGATAGGAAAAATATGCAGTGGGTTCTCACCTGGTTCTATACTGCCAGTGAGCAAGCACTAAGCCAATTAGCCTGCATTGCCTGCAGTTCAAGGAACCAGGCCTTGCGGATGCTGTGGTTGCCTCCGGGCAGTGCAATTCGGCCTGTCTCCAGCACTCTTCGCTTGCCAGCGATGTTGGCAATGGGGGTATTGGATCTCAAGTGGGGAGTCAGATTCAGATGGAAAAGAAAATGGCAAATGCTGGATATGGGGCTACTGATCAAAGGGCTTATATATTCTGGGGCTAGATCAAGCCCAAGACGCCCGCAGCTCGCGAAGGGCCGCTCATGTTTACAAGCCATCATCCAAGGCAGCGCGCGTCAGGAGCAAGGTCCTCTGCAAGAACCAGGCTTCTCCCTTTCAAATGCTCTCTCCCCTTGAAGCGTCTTCTGGGATGTCATGTAGCCTTCGGTGGGTCTTGGCCGTCTGGTTCGTCCAAGGCCCGAGGACAGCACCCACTGCAGTCCAGCGCTGCGGGGAATGCAGGAATGGACAAAGGCAGAACTGGGCTGAGAGACTCAATTACTATATAGCAAGGATTCATTCCTCAGTCATTAAGCACCAGCCTTGCTCCTGCCTGAGGCCCTTTTAAGGCTGTTCCGTTTTTTGAAGTTGCGTTCTTGGCGCTAGCAGGTAGGTTTAAGGATATTGCGGAGCACCGTGCCGGGCACAACGTCTGCACGGGGTTGCGGCGTTCCGTCCCGCGCGATCGGGCTGACGATGGTGGCATCCACCGCAACTTGCGCGCCATGCCAGAACGGCAGCCCAGTGCAAACGACCTCGATGCGCCGCGCATCGTGGACCGGCACATGGAGGTTCATTGCTGCCAACCTCACATTCCTCCCGACATGCGCGCCTGCTTCCTGGCAAGCACGGGCGACGGCGCGCTCCAAGGGCAAGGCCCGAGATGCAAGGACACCGGACCTGACGTGGCGCAGGCCGCTCGGTGGTTTCCAAGCACATCTAGCGCGCAGCGGCAGGAACAGTGGCTGGGGCCGAGCGGCAGCGGCAGGCGCAGCCGGCGGAGAATGAGGACGCGGAAGAGTGAGCTGGGCACGGCGAACTCGTCCCACGTTGGGAGGACAGTGAACACTCGCGCCGCGTGGGGCCCAGCTTGCGACAGCAGCAACGCTCGAGACGCAAGGGGAAAGTTCAGGAAGGTGTGTCTCAAGCGCGCGCTCGTCACAAGCCCGGGCTGCCCGGTGTTGCCGCCCTCGCAAGAAGCTTTCAGGTTCATCTTCCCGGTCGGTGGGGTCGGCGTGGTCCTCCAAGGCCTCCCCCCAGCCGGGTGCCTCAAAGCCTTGTGCGCAGGCGGCGACCGCTGCCGTCAAAGAATGTCAAATTGGCATGTGCTCGCGGAGGCCTAGGCCGCGTTGTTGCATGGGGGGCAGCGAGGCATCCGCAAGGCCGAGGAGCTTCGCCAGGCAAAAGGCGACGGCTTCGTCACGCGCGCTTGCATACTCCGCAGTGCTGGCGGGCGGCAGGGCGCGAAGCACATAATTAGCGCGTGGACATGCGCAGCGCCGGAGCAACAGCCAGGCCGCCTGCAGGTCCTCGACAGCAAGGATGCGCTGGAGCAACCGGTCATGCTCATCACGCAACTGTCGCTGGACGTACGCCTCACTGCCAATAGGAGCACCCAAAACGACGAGGCCTTGCTGCTCTGCGCGACCAATCCCCTACCCAGACAGCGTCGCCTCCTTCCTGTTGCAAATCGGCGATGTCCCGAGGCTCCTCGCCTGCTGCATTCCAAATGCTCGTTTTGCCGAAACTGAGCTCAACTCGCGCATGTGACCACAGGGCGGCGCGGTAGCGCTCATACAGCTCCTTCACCCGCTGGCGCGGCGACGATATAAGTATCGTCGAGATACGCAAAGATGGCCTCGCCTTCGCGCAACGCCGCCTGGACCTCGTGCAGGGCCGGCTGCTGGGCAATTGCGTACAAGGCCGGCATCAGCGGATCTCCCGGTTCCCCACCCTCGCCTTGGGCTATTTCGTGACTAGTCGCATTGCCATCGACCCACGTGTAAACGCTCGGCGCGCCATAAAACTTGCGCGTGTAGGGCAGGAGCAGCTGGAAGTCGGGGCGCGAAGAAAGAGCACCGAGCATTGCTTGTCTAGAGATTGAAGGCACCGACTGCATCAACTGAAAAGATGGTGGCTCGCGGGTCGACTTCAACAGCCGTGTCGAGGAAATGCTGCAAACGGCCTGCATCAAACCCATCGGGTCGGGCAAGATAATGGTCAACAGTTGCACGCACGTGACGTATCGACAGGAAAAGGCGTGCGGTGTGCTCGCCATTGGGCGCGTGCTTGGGCGTCGAGCATGCCCGCCGCGACGAAGAGCAACGGCATGTAGACACACGAATAGGTGGCATGACGGAGCGGGACGTCAACTCAGATGCGAGGGGTGCGGGCGGGTCAGGTGGCGTGACGGCCCCCCTTCTCGCCAGTGCCGAGGGAGATGGTGTGGCAGGCGCCTCAAGTGCGATTGTGGCAGGGGACGGTGTTGCTGGCACGGCTGGCGTGGCCGGCTGGGCTTGCTCCCCCGGAACGACAAGCGTGGGCTCCATTGCAGATGACAGCACGGGAGATGCGGCGAGCAAGGGGCGCAGCTTGAGTGGCCGCGCAGGCCCGGCAGCCGGGCAGCGACTGCACACCCAGCACTCCATTTCAAGCCGCAAGTCGACTTCCCGCACCATCAGGGCCTGGCAGCAATGGCACGCAGGGCGGGGTTCAATGGGATGGAGACGCTTGCTGCAGGCAGCTCCACTTGGCAACGCATGCAAATCCAAGCCGGTGTCCAAGACTGGATGCTGGCGCGCCCACGGCGAGGCACTGGCGACCAACGCATGGTTCGGTCAGGCAGCTCCACAACACCCATGGCCGGACCGGCCAGGCGGGCGCAGCAGCTAGCGCGTACATGACGGGGCTCCTCCGGCTCCGGCGTGCGCACTGAATGATCGCTGACGGCCGCATAGACAGTCCCGGCCCCATCAGCAGCAAACGGCGGCATGCGCACGCCCGCATGTTCACACCGTGCGGTGAAAGCCCTGTCGCGCCGCAAATATGCCATGTTTTGGCCGCAGTTGGGGCACCGGCCGTGCCTGTGAGCGCACTGTTGTAGGCAGCCGAGGTGAGCGATTGCACGCAACACGGAGAAAAAACGTCCACATCGCCAGGCGGTGAAAGTGGTCCTTCCAGGCAGATGGGACACAGGAGATGGCGCGTGGGGGCTGTGACGTCCCCCTCCTGTGTAGGAATCGCCCCGGGCGTCGACAGTGGAGAGGGGGATGACAACACACTGACAAGTTCTTCCGGCGCATGCGACATTGCGGGCACACAAAGAGCACAGCAACGGACACCTTTTTGCAGGCGCGCCAGTTGGAGCTGAAAGTTTAGCAGGTGCGTGTCTGGCACGAAAGACTGACTGGTATTGAAAACGCCAAATGCAAATGAATGAACAGCTGAGGCCACAAAGCCCAGAGCCTAGGCGACCAAGGTAAGCACAAGCGCAAAAGTTGCCCAGCAGGGCGGCCAACGCAGCGGACGCCGCAAAGCCTCGGCCAGGCCCGGCAAAATTTGCTCGCAAGCACCGGCGAGAGTGGACAAACAATAAATGCGCTCAGGTCAGACGCAGAAGTGAAAAGGGCGCGGGCGAGGGAAGAGGCTGAGGCGATGGCCGAATGACGGGGATCATCGTTCGCCTCGTCTGGCTTTTTCTTTTTTGGCCGGCCTGTTCCAGCGCTTGCCGCCCCGCTTGGGCCGCGCCCCGCTTGGGCCGCTTGCGCGCTGCACCAACCGCGGCTAGTGGAGGAGGCTGAACGTGTCGCCGAGGCGGCGAAGGTGGCCGTGGAGGCAGACGCCAAGGTGCGGGAGTCTCAGCCGCGGGACGGTCAGGCAGGCCACTGTTTGGCGCAGGCCGAATCACGCCGCCGGCCGACAGCACGGCAGTGATAGGCAGGACCAATAACTCCTGCTCAACAACCCCCGAGACGCAGACGCCGCCCAACAAGAACTCAACAGCAGGCATGCAAGGAGGCCCACACTACGGCAAACCCCCCAACTACGCAAAAGCCAGCCCTAGAGAGGGAAGACTCCGCGCCAGAGAGAGACAGGAACTGCACGCTAGCCCACCTTTAAATTTGAGCCCTCAAATCTGCATCTTAACTTCAAAATCGCGTGGGAAGTTTGGCATGGTGTCCTCGTCTGTGTCATCAATGAGGACAACCTGCACGCTGGCAGGGCTGAATGCTCGGAAGTTTGCACGGGTCGCCAAACCTGGACCTATCATACAAGAATCTAACATGATTCGTAAGTTATGGTTATGGCTTATACTGGCACAGTCCAAAATGGATTGCACTTACATCATCATATTTCAACGAAGACTGCTTCACAAGCAAATGCTTCGGCCACCGCTGAGACTGGCCACGCCA